GAATGAATCAGACTGGGATTCATATTTTCTGAGATAAAGGGCCTTCTCTTTTTTGTGCTAGGTCACCTTGCCCTTCAGGAATAGTACAGGGTCTCTGCCAGGGGCCAGTCTGCTTGCAGGATCCCTTTCCTCCTCCACCATGCCAAGGATCAGGAACATTGGGCAGATAATGACGATGATAATGATGCCAAGGACATCACTATATTTTTTCATGGCACCTTCAGTCATGCAAGCATTTTAGAGTGACATTTCCAAGAGTTGGCTAGCACAGCATGTTTCTAATGATGCTTCATGCAAATTGGAAGAGAGTACTTATCTCAGTCTATTTCCTGATGCTATAACAAAATACTGATGGCTGGGTAACTGATAAAGAATAGAAATTTATTTGGCTCATGGTTTTGGAAGCTGAGAAATCTAAGAGCATGAGATCATCTAGCTCTGATCACACCCAAAGTCCTCATTTCCAGATATCATCATTAGAGGAATTTGGGGGATAAATTTTCAAAAATGAGCATGGACTCTTTCAAACCATAGCAGTACTAAAGAACTATTAAATATTCATAGCCCCTCATGCATTCACATATACTCAAGCATGCATGTGGTTGCCTGCATGCACACACATTTGTCTTTTGTTTGAAATTCAACACAATGGTTGGAAATTGCCATCGGAGTACTTGGGGTTACAAATACAAACACCAACAGAGAAGCATCCATTCCTTCCAAACGGAACACATGTAAGATATGCCCTTTAATTAGCATCTGCAGCTGCTGCCATCAGAAGGGTCTGTCTCTGTTGGCTTGAAAGTCTCTGCTTTAAAAAAGCAAGTCTGTTATAGCTCCAGTCTAAGCTTGGCTGTCAGCTGTTGTGCTTTCTCTGCCACTCGTGGGGTTACCACATTATTCAGGGCTGTTGCACTGGAGGGCTCTTTCCTCTCTCCTCTCTCCCTGGCCTTTGATTACTATACCTTGGTGTTCCCCATTTGGGTGACCTGCAGGTGTTCATTGTGTGCAGGAGACATTCCTGGTGCATACATGGTTGGAAGATTGCTGCTTCAGTGCTGATGAACTGGTTATTTTCCAACCCTTGGTTGTCAGTGATCTTGTCTTAATATTTAGAAAGGTTCCAGGTAGTCACTGAAAAAAGTACAAGCAGCAGAAGTGATGACTATATTAAAGCAAGGTCTATTCAAGGGCACCTCTGCAGTAGAAACTTTTAATTTGATTGGAGCAGGGAGCCACATTGGTTCTGCAGCCTCCTCAGCAGTGGGTGCCAGTACAGTGCTAGGCTGGCTGTGTCAGAATTGCCCCAGTAGCTCATGAAAAATGCAAATTCTTCGACTGCACCTGTGGAGCCTGGCCCACGGGGTATGGAGTCAGTCAGTCCAAGGAATCCATATTTGTAACAAGTTCCCTAAGTAATTGGGATGGGAAGATGGAAAGATCTTTTACACTGACTATTATTTTTTTATTCTCTTAAGATGACAGTTTATTGAAGGCAAGGATTTTTATCTTTCTTATTCATGGCAGTTTTCTTGCTGTCTAGAATGGTGCCTGGCACATATTAGGCCTTCAAGTATTTATTTGGATGAATGTGTTTTAAAAAGCACTTCTGGTGATTTTGATGGGCAGAAAAGACTGAAGAACCCTGCCTTGGAGGACTTAACAGCCTTTTTTTGGTTGTTGTTTGTTTGTTTTCTTTAATGTATTTAGTATAGGATCTATAGGGTCTCACTACACAGATTGGACTCATAGTGATCAACCTGTTTTCAGCCTCCCAAGTGCTGGGATTATAGGCACGCCACCACGCCCAGTCTCAGTCACTGTTTTAGCGTACCCTGGGGGTAGGGCCAACATGGCAAGTCTTTTTTTTTTTGCAGAATTGGGGATTGAACTCAGGCCCTTGCCCTTGCTAGGCAAGCACTTATTCTACTGAGCCATCTCCCCAGCCCCAGTCTTTTGGTTTTGATGTCATATTTTGGGGAATATTTTTCAGCGCCTTAGTAGGCATCTTCAAGTATTGAAAACCAGAAAGAGTCAGATTTTTGGATGAAATTATATGCTGCACAGGCACTGCTGGGCACGTTCCCTGATGGTGACATTGTCCTTAATGAGTTTTTAGTGTGCTGCTGACTCCAGTCTTTGGGGCATAAAAGTCATCTGATGTGAAGATTAAAAACTCAGTTTTATGACTTTTGGTGATGCTTTTGGAGCCCCTTGATTTGGTACCATTTTTTACAGTTTAGAGGTGTTTCTGAAAGCCCCTATATCCTGGCTCTTTATTGTATCACACTCAACACTGTAATAATTAAGTAGTTGGCTTCACACAAACCGTTTTCCTCATAGCCTCCATGCTTTACAGAATGAGCAACTGTACCCCACAATGTAGTTTTGGAATATGGATAACATTTGAGGGTAGTCAAATTTGCTCAGTAAGTGTCCAAACTAAGTTTTTATTATGGTGCACAGTTGGAATTTATAATGTGGTCATTTAGAATTATGTGGATGGGTCAGGTTTAATTAGTTTCCCTGATAAGAAGCCAGTCTATTTAGGCATTTGTCAATTAGTATGTCTGTTTTGGCCCCATGTGGTGGAGCTTGCTGTTTAGCAGCTGTTGTCAATTTTGTTGCTTGTTTTGCCAATCAATCCTGGTTTTTAAAGACATGGGAAGTTGACTTGTAGAAAAGAATAACCTAGATTGAATGGGGATCTTAAATAGGAGTGGAGAATATGTAACTTTAATCTTTTTAAGAGGTGCTTCTTATTTTCTGAAATAGTATGCTGGCTATAAGAAATAGCATGTTTAGGAGTCAACACTAAAAACCAACTAGTGGTCAGTTTGTGAGCTCTGAGAAGTTTTCAGCAAATGCTATCACTTTGACTTTCTCAGCCTTAAACTTACAAGCTGTTCTGGTTTTTCCACATCTTTCATAGAACTACAGGAAATTTCTAACTGTGGCATGTCATCATAAATATGCATTGTTCTTATTTTAAGACATTTGAGTTCTAAAAGTATGAGTACTTCTGTTATTATGTGTGAATTTTTTGATGTTTCAGACCTTTTTAATGGCAATATATATTTAAAACAGATGTACAAATTAGCATTCACCCACATACCTAGGGCCTGTGGAGAACCAGGTTGGGATGAGTGGGTGAGCTCCAGGCAGCTAGGTGCTCCTGTAGGCTCCTCTAGGGTTGTGACGAGTGACTTACGTCTGCTGTAAATTTGGAGGAAGTAACGTATGCACATTAGGTGCTGTCCCTTCTAAGTGTTGCTCTTGTTGATTCATAAATTCATTTGTTTTTAGCATTGCAGTGCCAATGAACGCATGTCAAATGCAGTTGTCCAGTGTCTGATTGAGTATCTCTAGTGTAAGAAGCCAGGCGACTGGGTAGATTTCTAGGTTACAAGGAGCTCTTGGGGACTATGTTTAAGTCCCTAGCACATGTAGGGGTGTTTGGTTCTGGGTTGGTCTGGTGCTGAATCTCAACTGGACCAGCCTGGGATCCACAGGGATTTGTGTAAATGCTCTACATCTGGCTCACCTAAAGCTTTTTTCTAATTCTGAACTGAAAGCAAATGGGTTTGAAGGGTAATAGTGATAATTCAAATCTGAGAATTGGCCTCTGGAATGCAGTGTTTGGTCGATTTAGTGTTTTCTTTTTAAAACTATGTTTGAATCTTGCCTTTTTCCAGAGAAGATTGGATACAATTTAAGTGACATGGCCAATGAAGTGGGAAATCAGAGCCAAAGATAGGAGAACCCCATAAAGTTCAACATGGTTATAGTGATAGTGAGACAGCGTCCCAGTTTATCTCCAACTAGAAAAGGGCCATGCGGTGAAGGAAAGCGAAGGACGGGAATTGAGTGGTGGTTGAAGACCTCATGTGGGAACTGTGCACCTTGCCTAGCCCTCTGAAGATCCTGTCTTGCTTAATGTTGCAAAAGCATTAGTTTTATCCCAATTTTACAGAGAATAAAATTGAAAGGCAGAGAGGTAAATTCTTCAGGTGGAGTCTGAAGCTTCCCGAGATTAACTGGCCTCAAAGCCATGTGTTGATCAGGAATATTATACCCAGTTATCATCAAAAGGAATGATTTTAGTTCTTTGGGGTAGAAAAATGTTTTTGCCAAGAAAATATTTTTTTCTGAGGCTTTGTATTCTTCTAGATTTTTTGTTATATATACACCAACCAATTGATATTTTTTCTCATAAAGAGAAGGTTTATTTTATCTTATACAGGATGTCATTTTAGATTGTCATGGACAGCTTTTCACAGGAGTATGAGTAGATGGAATCCATTTGTTTTTAATACCTGCATAATATCCTGTTGTTTAGATATAACATAATTTAGCCAGTCTCTTGTGGATGGATATTGGAATGATTTTGAGTTTTTTCTCCATTACAGATAATGCTGCAGTGAATCTTTATTTATCTGTTTATCAGCAAACTATTGTAAGGACCTATAGAATAAATCATTAGTAGAATTATTTGGTCAAAGTGTATGTATGTGTAGTTAAATTTTTAATAGAGATTCAATTGCCTTCTACACTGACTGTAAAAGGAAAAGATTGTATCACATTTATTGCACGCCTCCTGTGTTCTGCTGTGTGCTGAGGGGAATGTAAAAAGGATGTAAGAGAGTTTGTTGCCCTCCAGGAATATCCATCTACGCTGCATACTGAATCCTAGGGAATGTCTGGAGTGTCAACGTGGGTGGGTGGGGAGTGGGTGGATTTAATTCAACTTTTTAGACTTGTCTTGCAAACACTGTGCATGGTGTCTGGGACTAGTCTTTCATTATATTGATTCTCTTGGGTAACAGATATAATTTTTGTAGGGCAGAGACCTCATCCTATGTCTTACAGTATGTCTCACACATCTCCCTTGCTTTGTGGAGACATTGTAATTATGACATGTCAGGTGATATTTGTGGATCTAATTGAGGCATTCCCTTCTTTGGATGTGCGAAAGACTAATAACGTTGGCATTCTTGCAGGTCATGGAATATCAGCCTGGAGGAGATTTGCTGTCACTTTTGAATAGATATGAGGACCAATTAGATGAAAATATGATTCAGTTTTACCTAGCTGAACTGATTTTAGCTGTTCACAGTGTTCATCAGATGGGATATGTACATCGGTAAGTGAGACTTCTCGGTAGGATACTGAGAATTATTTTGTATCATGGTAGAGCTCCTATATGAAATGAGTGGATGAGTGATTTCAGGATCAAAATAATGCTTTGTTCAATTTTTAGCCAGTCTTCTCTGAAACTGGCTTACTTTCATAAACTTTCCAAAATGGCAGACATTTTAGCTCTCTATTCAACAGGGAAACAGATCTAGAATTGTAAAATGGTCTCACATTTGCTAGTAAGACCTATTATGAACTAATGATGCAGCTCATGGTATCAGGAATTCTTGCAGGCCTTTTGGTTATCTGGTAGATAAACTGAATTTGTTTTTTTTTTTTGTTTTTTTTTGTTTTTTTTGGCGGAACCAGGGATTGAACTCAGGCCCTTGCACTTGCCAGGGAAGAGTTTATTCCACTGAGCCATCTCCCTAGCCCCTTTTTGTTGTTTTGTTTTTTGTCTTTTTTTCTTAAATTTTCTGTTTAGTGCAAACAATTCATTTACCATTCATTTTAGTGCATCTGCATTCAGGCTTTGAATTATTTGACCCAAGATTTTACAATATTAAAATTGGACTCAGAATTTTACAGTGTTAAAAACAAACAGGTCCATAATCACAATACCTACTCAGTCTCACTGAGAGTCAGCATAGAGTTAAAGCTCAACACCTTCGGGGAAATGGTTGTAGAGAAATATATGCTAATATCTAAAAAGTTACATATATACTTTTTAATTGAAGGATGTATAATAAAAGTTTAGAGGCAAGAAACTGGTGCTAATAAAATGTTTCTTTTCAAAAGAAATTATAGGGGGCCTGCCCCTTAGCTCAGTTCTTTAAGTGGCTGCTTCAACAAAGCAGTCAGGCCCTGGTTGCTGTGGTTCGATCCCCACAGCTCAAGCCAGCCAAACCTGCCCGGAAGGCATTTGGAGCAAAAAAAAAAAAGAAATTATAACATCTTTGGAAAACTTTCCAGTTCTTTTAGTTCTTTTTTTAGTTCCCACAGAGTTCATGCAATTTCTTGAGACAATCTTAAAGTACACTGTACATGGAAATGGAATGTTCATCCAGAACTACAGGTGAAAACTAAGACCTGGGTGCTGATAGAAAAATCTTCCTAATTCCTGTCATCACACATTTGTATCCTGGAGTAAAGTTTCTTGGGCCTCCCCTGGCACTTGTGTACTGTGAGGATGGCTGGGACTGCCCAGAGCTTTCTCCAGCTGCTGGACCATAAGCTTAAATTGGTGTGTTCGGGAATAAACAAGGCAACAAGCAGAGCCAGCAGTACTGAACAGGCTCCAAAAAGGAAGTGCGGCCCAGGGATGATGGAATTCTTTCTGTTCAAAGTGGTGCTAAGGGCTTGTGTTTGTCCCCAAGTCTGTTCCTGTTATTGGCAGTTCTTTAGGTTCCACATGGAATATGAATCCATAAAGGGCTGGCCTCAAGCCATTGCACAATCCTCGAATTCCTGTTATCGTTCCTTGAACAACACCCTGTTGATGAGTATCAGCGGTTCGTGAAACCAGTGCACTAGCAGCTGGAAAAGTAATGCTAGACATGGCTGCTCCCGCCCCAGCAGACCACATCATCCAAGGTTCTGAACCAAATCCATACCATGCCAGCTGTAATATCTGAAATCTCAGACCCAGTAAAAAGATGTTCTTATTTCTAATTGACCTCATAAGTAAACTTAAGATTATAGTCTGTGCAACAGTGGAAAGAATGCCAAGAACTGCTATGAACGCTGCAATACTTTCTGGTGAAAATTTCATTATCTGTCTGAGGTACAGAAAGAAGCTGGAATACTGGCCCACCTCTGGTAGGTAGGAGAGGAACACCGTGATGCAGATGAGCAGCACTATGGAATCTTGGCCCACTTTTTTTTAAGATGCAGAAGGGTCAGCCTCTTCCCAGAAAATAGGTGCTCCCCATGATGCTGGCCACATCTTCCCAGGCAATGACTCAGGCACAGCAACAAGAATAAAGCAAATATCAAGCAAAGCGATTGCTGTGGCTAGGACCACCACTAAGCTGTCTCCATACACTTGTCCGAGGTAAGCTCCACTCGCAGGGCTGGTGACTAAACTTGCAGCAAATCTTGCTAAAACCAATCCATAAGCCATGCTTCTTTCATGTTCTTGGGTTATATCTGCTACATATGCAAATACCATGGAGAAGGTAACTGCAAAAACTCCAGAAACAGAGATAGCAGCAAAGTACCACTATGGGCTGATCTTCATTAAAGGAATTGGGGCACATGTGAAAAACACTGTGAGCAGCAAGAAGGATTTTTGGCCCCAAACATCACAAAGAGCACCAATAAGTGGAACACTGAGGAGTGACAACAGACCCTTTACTCCTTGAATTAAGGCATTCATCAGAAATGTGTGTTTAGAGGTTTCATATAATCCCACCAAGGTGGGCACCGTCAATAGTCCCCAAGCAAAAAACTCCGAAAAGATGATGACAACCACATGATAAATACTAGGAGAACCTATTCCTTAAGGCACGCCTCTGTCCTTAATGTTAATCTTCTTGGCCATCATGATACTGCGGTTTGTGGCCTGTTTCTTCTTCTTCCCCTGGGTCATTTTTCCATCCTTGACTCCTGGCACCGCTGCAGCTACTCCTGGGGCAGCGGGCCCCAGTGGAGAGTCCCGTGCCACCACTACTGCTGGGCTGAGCCGCTCAGGGCGCCCGCTGCCATCTTGAGGGCCTGGCCTGCCTCGGGCGGCGCGTCACATCGTGCCAACAAACTGACTTTGATTTGCAAGAAGAACTGCATATCTTGTAGGAACAGAAGGTCACACAGTTGGTGTTAATCAGCTTGCTGTCTCTATATCAAACACTTGACATAATCAGCTTATAAAGGGGAAGGGTTACTTTGGCTCATAGTTTTGGAAATTTGAGTCCAGGGCTGATTTGTGCAGATGGTGAAGTAGCATGTGGTGGTGGAAATGTGTGGCAGACCAAATCCACTCACTTGGTGGCCAGGACTCAAGAAGGTGAGTGGCAGAGGTCAGTCTCACAGTGTCCTTTGAGAGCACACCCACAGTGACCTGAAGACTCCTTCCACTAGGTCCATTTCTTGAAGGTTTTACTACCACCCAGTAGTGCCACTCCTCGGACCGAGTAACATTAAGATCCAAACCATGGGACGCTTCTAACTGCACCTGTTAGTAATTTACAAAGGTGTTCCCTAAATTCTGTTAGTTGGTGTTTCTTCCTGTCCTCATTCCTCTGATGGTTTATGAATATCTGAGAATGTTATGAGAACGTAGTGATGTTAGCCTGCAAAGTGCAAAATCTGAAATAAACTCTGAACTCACGTGATCTTGGGCAAATTACCTAGCATCTTTTTGCCTTAGTTTTTGTAATATAAAATGTGTTTCTTGAATAGAAATACCCATCTAGTAATATGTATTTGCTTCCTTTCGTGTTCTTTTTCAAAAAATCTGTTCTGTGAAGTATATGGTAGTCATTCATACCTAGCAACAGGGAAGTTTGTAGAAAAGGTTATATAAACTAAATTCTTGGCCAAATTGAGATCCTAGGACAGCAGTCACTTGCTGATTGACATGGAGAAGATAACACTAATCCAGGGTCTTGATTTGCTTACAGAGACATCAAACCTGAGAATGTTCTCATTGACCGAATGGGACACATCAAGCTGGTGGATTTCGGAGCAGCTGCTAAAATGAATTCAAATAAAATGGTAACAAAATGGAAGAAAGTGGCTATGTAGAAGTTTTACTAAAACGTATTGTTTGATCATCATAAGTTCGGCAAATATAGGCTACAATAGTGAAAAACATTTTGGAAGCTTCACCAGCCTCCGTGTGACTCTTTGATGGGGATAAAGTTGGGGGAGGGGACACAAAACTACTTCCCAGGTCTTAGCCCCCTTTTAGGTACGTATCCACTAGTACCCTACAAAACATCTTTAAGAATACTTTTACAGTTTGGTTAAAAAGAAAGAAAAGTGCTTATTTTGTTTTTCCCTTCATCTTTCTTGCCTCTTACAAAAATGGTCTTATCTTTTTTTTTTTTTACATTAAAATATTTTGATGAAATGTAACCTCCTTTTTACCAACTCTTCTATTTCCTATGCAGGAAAATTGAAATTAATCACTAGAGCATTTGAGCTAAATATGCTAAGGTGTCAAGAACCAGAACTCAAAATGTCATTTTTTTTTAAAGTCTTGGACTTTTGGTAAAAATTAAGCTGTATTCCACATGCTAATTAGTAAGGCAGGAAAGGAGCTATTAAGATCAAGAATTAGACTACATTAGGCAAAGGATGACAAAATTAAAAAAAATCTAGAGTTTAAATATCCTCTAATATAAAGTTGGTGTGTACTAAAATGTAAATTTTGAGGTTAGCTATGCTTAGAAGGATAGGTCTAGGAGAAAATCTACTTAAATTTTAAGACTTAATTTTACAGCTGAGCCACTTGGTGAACTATACAAATCCTTATGAACTTGGCCGTTTATTCTTTCCCTAGAAAATAATGATTCTAGTTAAAATGCACAAATTAAGAGGTCAGAGAAGCTGCTCTCCAAGATGTCTCCCAGGTTTCAGAGTTAAGTCTTTTAGAAAGGACAGTAAGTGAAATTGCCTTTACCCTCAGCTTCCTTGGAGGGAAGGTGAGTATTAAGTTGATATTAGGAGAAGGCTTAGTGTTTCTTTAACTCTTTGTACTTGAATGCAATCTCCTGCTTGTGTTCTGTTCTGCAGGTCTGAGGTCTACTTTAGATGATTTACTTAGTGTGTAAGCCCTTGGAAAAACAGGTTCCCTTCATTGTACAAAGTCAGGATTTTTCAGTTTTGGCACTATTCTTTTTTCAGATTATGTTCTTAATCTATTCAACTGATCTTTACATTAAGAATTAGATTATCGAGTCAAAGCACTTTATGTTTTAAAATTATGTACAGAAACTGACAGTAAAGCCAGGTGTGTTGGCACAGGCCTGTCATCTCAGCATTCAAGAGGCTGAGGTAGCAGGATCGCCAAAAAGGATTAAAATCCAGCCTGAGTTGCATAGTGAAACCTTGTCTCAAAAAGACCAAAAAAGAAAGAAAGAAAGAAAGATTGGCAGTGTAACTCTGGTAGTATGAGTGTTTGGAATAGGTGAGGCCCTGGGTTCAATCCCCAGCTCTCCCCATTCCTTCTTTGAAAAAAATTATGTGTAGTTCAGAAATAGGCATGAAAATTTAGGTATTACATTTAGAAGAATAAAGCATAGAGGAAAGTAACACAAAACGTTATCCCCTAGGATTCAGAGACATGCATTGTGTTCATGACATTAATAAATACATGTATTTAGAAAATATAGCACCAGGCATGGTGATACACGCCTGTAATTTCAGCACTCGAGAGGCTGAGGTAGGAGGATCATTGTAAGTTTGAGATCAACCTGGGCTACAAAGGAAGCTCAAGGCCAGGCTGAATCACATAGCAAAACCCTGTCTCAAAAAGACAAAAGAACACAAACAAAATTGCAGCATAGGCACATAGTCTGCCAGTATAATCTCAGCACTATTGCTCTTTTGATCTGGATAAGTCTTTGTTGTGGAAAGTTGTTCTATGTATGATAGGCTATTTACCTGCATTTCTAATCTCTACCTACTAGATCTTAACAGCCTCCTACTCCACTCCGTGGCAACACAGTGCCTCCCGACATTGCCAGATACCCCTTGGGTGTGGGAAGTAAAATCACCTTGGGTTGAAAGTGTTTGCAGTACATTGAGAAGCATCAGAAAGCTAAGTAGTTAGAGCCAACAGTATGTATTGCAACTAAGAAAACCTCTGGAAACTAGGTTCAGAGTCCATGGTTAGTGCTTGAGACATAAATGGAAATTAAAAGTAAGGCCCTATCTCCACATCTGGAGTTACTCCCTTTGGAGCCATTGGTGGAGAGTCAGGGCTCTTACTCCCATCAAGTTTCTGCCTGTCAGTGTCTCACACTGCCTTTTTGAGTTCCTCTCATTGTAGTAATCTCTATTCCAGCCAGGAGCCTCCAAGAGGCACTCAGGTTTATTTCCAGCTCCAGACTGAACCTCTGCTTATTTTGGGCAAGGAAATACGGTACTTAGTATGCACACTTAAGAATATCATACTTTTTTCTCCCTCTGTCTAGGACCAGAAGGTTGACAAGCAGATAAGGAATGTTGAGGATTGTTTTAAATGTAAAGGCCCTTCTATAATAGAAGAACAATGATTTGCAAACTAGGTCAAGTCTGGATGTAGAATTAGACTTTTTTTTTTTCCCAGTGTTAGAAATTGAATTCAGGACTTGTTGCGTGCTAGGCAAGTACTCTTCTACTGAGCTACATCCCCAGTCCTTTTTCATTTTTCTCTCTAAGTTACATAGTCTGTCTTTGACCTTGTGATCCCCTTGCTTCAGCCTCCTGAACAGCTGGGATTACAGGTGTGCTCCAGTACTTACTTTCTATTTTTAGATTTTTTTTTTTGGTGGAACTGGGGATTGAACTCCGGCCCTTGTGCTTGCCAGGCAAGTGCTTATTCCACTGAGCCATCTCCCTGGCCTTTACTTTCTATTTTTGAAAGTGAAAGTTTGAATAGGTATTTTCTTTATCTCGTGCTTTTTATTCAGAAATGTAGCTTGGGAGTGTTTTTTGTTAGTCTATGGGAATAGAGGCCTAGTGACCAGAGGATCTACTGTGTGACTTTGGTCACCCATTTCACATTTTTATTTATTTTTTATTTTTTTAAATTTTATTTATTTATTTGTGTGTGTGTGTGTGTGTGTGTGTGTGTGTGGCCAGCTCAGCCCACCAGGGGGCGGGGCTGGCTGGCATGTGGTGCTGCGGGATTGAACCGCGGTCCCTGTGCTTTGCTAAGCTTGTTCTAAGTAGGTGCTTTAGACCACTGAGCCATCTCACCAGCCCCATTTCACATTTTTAGAATCTCAAAAAATAACGAACAGCTAGCAGTTCCAACCTATCTCATTTGGTTCTATTGAAACCAGTTGTAAGGAGATTTTAGGTAAAGTACAATGTAATGTGTTAAGTGATAATCAGTTCCATTTAGCAGTTGGAAACCTATATAGACCAATGGCCTTTCAGATTTCTGTAGAAATGAAAAGGCTTGATTTCTATAAGGGGAGCAACATAGTGAGGATTGTTTTCCTCAGCTTTCACATGTGTATGCTTGTGCCCTAGGGAGCTAGATGGGGAAAATTAGGTTTTAGTAGTTTTAAATTTAGAACTTTGTGCAAAGGAGTTGGGAGGAAGAAGATGATACTTTCTTTTTTTCTTCCTCATTCGTTTGTAAAATAATGTGCTAAATTAATCCTTTCCTTCTTTGTTTCCTTCTGTTTTTGCAATTTCTTTTTCTCTTTATTTTCTAACATAGGGAAGACTTTCTTGTCTCCTAGATATTCTTACTGTCTTCTGCTGAACTGGTTTATTTCCCTTGCCAAATAGAGCGAAAATTCACCAGCTAATCCTGGGACCCTATCAGTGTGCTACAGATAGGTGGAGCTCCTAGGACATGTTTACTTTCAACTTCTCAGCCAGATTAGCTGGCCGAATTGCCACCAGAGGAGAGTGAAAGCATGTTGCAAACTTCTTATCAAGACATGTTAAGATTACGTGGCTTAATATACTTGGAGGTCAGTGATTCCTTGGAACTTGGTAGTTATTAAAAACCTTTATTAATTGCTAATAAGCGCTATAATAAGAGTTGTACAGAGAGCAAGCCAGTGGCTATTTTTTATTTCATAGCTTTGTAGTAGAAATTAATAATGACACTTAGAAATTTAGAAAAATATTGAACATTAGTGTTTATAATCACATATCTTATTAGATATCTGACTTATCTGATATCAGATTAGTTATCTGACTCTGATAAGTCTAATCCTTAGTTTGAAAATGGGGTATTAGCAATTTATGTTCTTTGGATGGGACACCCTGTTAAACAACTCAGTCAAGTTCAACTGTAGATGTGAACGAGTGACTGTCCTGTCACCTGCAAACAATGAGAAGTAAATGTTCCAGAATAGCTTATGGAGGAGTAAAATAAAATCCAGCCAGTAAAATGGTACATATTTGACAATGGGGTAGTTTTAACCCTGTGACACAGTTAGGCAATTAATCAACAAGGGCAAGCGTTTAATTAACAATATTGTTATTTAGCTAAACTGAATTTTACACTTTTTCTTATTTTGTTATTTAAAGGCTATCTCTTGCTCATTGTCTGTACTGTGGTTTGTTCTAAACCCCCATAGTTTAATCCATCCCTTGCTGGGCTTATTAACATTTACATATACATTAAACTGAGACTTCCTGACATGAAGGCATCCACTTGACTTAAGCTTCAGTTTCTCAAGCTTAAATCCCCCGTGGTTCCGTCTTGACCAAATATTTTCCCCTTTGTCCTCACTATTGTCCTTCAACACAAGCCTGTCTGTGGGTTTATTGGATGATGTGATGTCCAGCTTTCCCAGTAGGGGCTAATAATGGAAATTCTGTTGCCTTGTACAATGGCGGGCCCTTGACTGTCTAGAAGAGTAGCATCACACTTGAGTCCTGAGTTTAGGGTGAGGAAAACCTACACCAGAGTGTGGTCCTAAGGAAAAGGGTCAAAAGAGAAGGGATGGGGGAACTTTAGGACTATTTGTTCCTATCTTACATATACACATAGACATGTATCTATGTAAATAATGAGAGAGTGAATGGGAGAAGTATCAGATATCTCATATCCAATCATAAGAAGGTCTTGGGCAGAGGAACAGACAAGTTGAAAGAGGATGGAAGGCTTTCAGCTAGCTTCTTCCCTAGAGAAAGGAGATTTCATAGTATCTTTTTCTTTTGATACCCAATTAAATAAAAACACAACAGATTTACTTTTTTAATATAAAGTCCAGCCTTCAAGGTATGTGGTTGGACCCCTCAAATGTCAGGGCTCAGCAAAACACTACTCTTTAATGAAGAGAAGTTCTTTTGTATCACTGAACTGCTTAACTTATGAGGAGCCAATTTATGATGCGGGGTTAAGAGAAAACTGGGTAACAGCACGTGACTGAATTCTGGGCTTATTTTGATAGGGAGAAGGGATAGACAGGAAATCCCTTCACTTGAAGCTTTGTAGATCAGTAAAATACAATGAAGTTGGGTATTCAGGAGGCTAAATAAGGCTAGCCTGGGCAACTCAGCGAGACCCTGTCTCAAAATAAAGGGATTAGGTATCAGGTCAGTGGTAGAATGCTTGCTTAGCATGTCTGAGGCCCTTGGTTCAATACCACAAGGTAAGCAAATATTTTTGAAGACCAAAGGGGGTGTCCACTTACTGAGTTCCTAACAAGAAGACAGAATCAGGGACAGAAAAGCTAATTCTTTCATTAGCATTATTTTAAGAAACAACATCTAACCACTGAAAGTTAGAAGGACAAATTCTTAGGAAAAAGAAAAAAGGGTATTCCTTTCAGTGGAATACATTTAGCTTTATTAGAACCCCCCTACATTGTCCTAACCTGTCTTTGGCAAGGTCAGTACTCGGGCCCTTGGTTGGAGGGCCCCAGGTTCCTGAACAGTGGGGAGAGGTCATGAGAACAGGAACGGGGGGTGAGGAAAATGAGCTCATTAAACTTGGCCCTGGCTGGAAGTTATTTGTCACATTGTGCCCAGCAGGTGGGCTCAAGTGGAAATGTGGATTTCAAAAGCAGTTTCCAGCTTTTTAAAACTTATACACAATATATATTTAGGATATTGTATTGCCAGCTGGCTGCTGTGTTTCAGTAATAGGTTGATCTCATAGATTGATCTGTAGGGTTTATTATCATTTTGCTTTTTTTCTTAGGTAACAGAAGTTCTGCCACATCAGTAGCTTGTATCAGGGAACCCATCTTTCATTCTAACTGCATCCTGAACTCTCATTTGTATAATAACTGAAGGGTGCATATCATCAATAAATCTTACCCCTTTTGCCTTTGTACTGTATTATGCACCTTTTTTTAAATTAGTAAGGCATTTGCATTTCATGATATGTGCCACTTGACAGAGGATTTAAGTGCCTGGGAGAATAGTAATCAGTGGCAAATCAGCCTGTGTCTGATGTGGCTGCTGGCAATCTACTTGAAGATAATTGAAAGTTTGCTGTAGTCACTTTATTTATGGGTTCATAGGTGAATGCCAAGCTCCCAATTGGAACCCCCGATTACATGGCTCCTGAAGTGCTGACCGTGATGAACGGGGACGGAAGAGGCACCTACGGCCTGGACTGTGACTGGTGGTCAGTGGGAGTGATTGCTTACGAAATGGTTTATGGGAGAACGCCATTCACAGAGGGCACCTCCGCCAGGACCTTCAATAATATCATGAATTTCCAGGTAAAGGGTCGTTAGAGTTTGAAGTCATATAAGGAAATGTCATTTAAAAGTTGTGTGATGGAACATTTATGTGTAAAACAGCATGACACTCACTTTGCCAAAAGCTGCCCTAAATGCTTTGCTAATTATAGTTCACTGAATCTCAGCTGCCAGTAATTATAAGATTACATCATTATTTTATGTACCACAGAAAAAGAACTGCTGCCAATTAATCTACATGTTTATTAATTATAAAATGCATCTTGATTTCTTTGCTGTTAAATGTGCCTAACTGTGAACCTTAGCACTGAAAAAAAATAGTTTACTAGTTCATCTTCCAAAAACCTTGTGAGGTAAGTGGTATTATTATTATTTTAAGGGAGATAGCTCAGTAGAATAAGCACTTGCCTGGCAAGTGCAGGGTCCTGAGTTCAATCCCCAGTACCGGGAAAAACAGACAAACAAACAAACAAAAAACAACCCTGTATTATTATTTTATTTACAGGTGAGCAGACTAGGCACAGAGAGGTTAAGGAACTTGCCCAAAACAGCAGTCAGTCTGACACTGAAGTCCATGCTTTTTTTTTTTTTTCTTCTTTCTGTATTTAGGGAAGGGTCTACAGGGTGTTCAGGGTCTCACTACATAGATTGGACTCATAGTGATTTTCCTGTTTACAGCCTCCCAAGTGCTGGGATTACAGGCACATGCCACCATGCCCAGTCTCAATCGCTATCTCAGTGCACCCCAGGGGCGGGGCCAGCATGGCAGGCCCAGGGATCGAACATCCGGCCCCTGCGTCTGCCTAAGCAGGTGCATTAATCTGCTGAGCTATTTGGCTAGCCCTTGAATTCCATGCTCTTGATTTTTATGCTCTAGTGCTTCTTAGCATGAAATGTTAGTAACACGAATGAAGAAATGAGTTAAAATTATGATAATATAAATGAAGCAATATTGCAACTATTTTCTGAGCTGAGAGTGTAGCTCTTGCCTAGTACATGAGAAGTCCTGGGTTTCATCCCCTGTGGTGGAAGAAACTAAAGAAAATGAAAAATAAAACAAAAACTTATTTTCTGATGCCTATACTTTTTACTGTATTAAGCCCATTTCTTAAAGAGAGGTAGGCTTGGTGGCACATGTCTATAGTCCCAGCACTGAGGAGGCTGAGGCAGGAGGATTGCCATGAATTCAAGGCCTGCCTGAACTGATAGCAAACCAACCAGCCAAATAAACAAACAAACAAACAAAAAAGAAAAAGGGAAAAAAGAATTTGTTTCCTCTTCCTGGAGCAGTTAATATGTATATTAATGTATGTATTATATATTACATATATATATATATATATATATTTTTTTTTTATGCCACACATGTTATTCTTGAGTGTCCTCTTGAGTTCAGTTTCTCCTTGAAGACTCTTGGGCTGATCTATTTCCTTCATTTTTACCTTGCTCATTGACTGATTTAATCATGAGTGAAGTACAGCAGGTTTTGTCTATTAGGTACAGTTCTAGGTTAACAGTGATGAGCAAGGAGGAGGCCCTCTGCTTTCTTTCCCCGTCATCACTCAGAAACCACAGTGCATTGTGTGAGTGCAAAAATAGGTTCAGAGAGAACATGGAGAAGAGAGAAACAGGGTAGCAAAGGTAGCCAGGGAAGGCCTGTGGGTGGGAAGGACTTCTAGGCCAAAAGAATAGCATGGTGTGTTCAGGGAGTTTTAAATAGCTCATTATTGTTGGACAGCAAAGAGAGAGATGGGGAGCTTGCAAAGTGAGATGTGAGGTTAGCAAAGGTCAAGCCAGGAAGGATGCCGAATCCTACAAAGGAGCTAGGTCTATTGATGTGAGTGGGCCACTTATTTTGGGAACATGCTTTCGGTCCAAAGTTAAGAGGGCATGGAACTTCTTTCTCTGTTAAAAAGGAAGAAGAGGAAAAAAAGTTTGCATATATGAGAAATGCTTGAACTTTGAGACATGAGAAACTGAATCACTGCTAAGGACATTATTATTTTGTTTTTTTGGAACAGCGGTTTTTGAGGTTTCCAGATGACCCAAAAGTTAGCAGTGAATACCTTGATCTGATTCAGAGTTTGTTGTGTGGCCAGAAAGAGAGATTGAAATTTGAGGGCCTTTGCTGCCATCCTTTTTTCTCCAAGATGGACTGGAATGACATTCGTAACTGTAAGTAGAGCATCTTTTTCAATTTGGGAGCTGGGATTGAGATATATTTTAGTGATCTGCAGTTACTCTGGTCCAAAGATTGTAGTGTAAGTTATATAAATGTTTTAATTATGTACAGGAGTAGAAAAAAGCTAATGATACAGCTGTCTTTGAGTAATAATTGTGCTTTAAAGTTGTGTGCATAGAAGTGGGTCATTTGTCTACCTCTGTGTTTCTGTGGCCTTTAGAATATCATTTTGGAGTGAGTCGGAGGCACAGATTGATGGAGTTCAGAGATTGTCCCAAGTTTGACAGTTTTCTTCTAGAGGAAGCATAGACTTAGCTATTTCATTCACAGATTAGGAATAAGGTTCCATGATTAGGCAACATGCTCAGGGCATTCTGCTGATGGCTGAGCCTACAATGAAACCGTCAACACCTTGTTGTGTTCATTTGTTTCCCTGTGTAATATTTGCCATTGCTCACAAACATGTAAAATGTATCACGGATATCTATGTACAGTGGATTCATTCGTACCTCACTTTATAATCAGTGCAAGCTGAACCAATCCATTAAAAATAAAGGACTGATGTACTGTCAGTAAAAACTGAAAAGCTTGGATTCTACAAATGGGTTATTTTTCTAAAAGATCTTTTTATTCTTGGTCGTGTTGCTGACTGAATATGATCTAATCGCCTGACCCAGAGATCAGCATAGATTACAGCCGGCAGCAAAACAGTTGGCCTGTTTAAGTGTTTTATTTTTGGTGATGAGGGGAGGTGGGGAAATAGAATCTGATTTTAGTTGTCAAAAGCAGGCTTCTAATTAGAGCTCTGTTGTAATTACAGGTTGAGCATCCCTAGCCCAAAAATCCAAAATGCTCCAAAATCTGAAACTTTTGAGTGTCAACATGATGCTACAAGTGGAAAATTCCACATCTGACCTTGTAAAGGGGTCACATTCAAAACCCAGGTGCACTAGGCTGAGGAGGTAGCCTAGGAGTAGAGCACTTATATGTGTGAGACCCTAGGCTCAAGCTGCAGCACTGCAAAAACCAAAACCAAAACCAAAAAAAAAAAAAAAAAAAAAAAAAAACCAGAAAGCAAAACAAAAACCAAACCCTCAGGTAGATTAAAAAAGTATTGTATAAAATTATCTGGCTATGTGTATGAAGTATACATAAAATACAGATGAATTTTACATGTGGGTTCCATCCCTAACATATCTCATTATGTAGATGCAAATATTGCAAAATCTGAAAAAAATCTGAAATCCAAAATACTTATGATTCCAAGCATTTTGGATGAGCAATCTCAGTTTGTGTGACTTCTGTGCTTTCAACTACAACATGAGAGTGGTTAGAATCCACTACTTCAAGTATTGTGTACACGAAGGCCATTTTGATGGTTTCTCTAAGTTTTCCTTGGCAAGCTGGTTTTCTTCTGTATGTTAGCTTTCTGTTGTTCTGGCAAAATACCTGAGAAAAATCAACTTGAAAGGAGAAATGTTCATGGTGGCTCATTGTTTCAGAGGTTTTAGCCCATGGTCACTTGGGCCTGTTGCTTTGGGCCTGTGTTGGCACAGTGCCTCATGGTGGGAGCATGTGAAGAGGAGGTCTGTTCACTTTCTGGTATCCAAGAAACACAAACAGAGAGAGAGAGAGAGAGAGAGAGAGAGAGAGAGAGAGAGAGAGAGAGAGAGAGAGAGA